ACCGGCACTGTTGGGTAAACTTCAGCCGACTCTTCCGCAGTCGCCTGTGTCTCCTCTTTCTCTTTCCGATCTTGATTTCGTCGGTGTACTATGGTGCGGCCGGACGAATGGTTAGTAAACGTGTAGAAAGTGAAGCATAACAATCCAGAATTCTCGACAGTTCCGAATTTATAGAGCGATAAATCGAGAAATGTCTTCTGTGCGATCGTTTAATGCAATCTTCGAATGCATCAATGTCAACTGATTTCAGATTGCGAGAGGAGATAGATTTCCTTCCAAAACGCGGCTTTCCGATCTTAAGGTTACACATAACGGTAAAGTGGTCAGAAATCAACGAATCATGAACATCAACAGAATGTCATTGCTGCCCCGAGTAATAATCAAATCGATCCAGGATATGACCAGACTGATGAGTAGCTTGAGTAGTACGATGACACTGTAAATTAAAAGCTTCCAATAGGTTAGTGAAGTTAACCGTAGAAATATCACTAGTACTATCAATATGGACAGTAAGTCTCCAACAATTAGTAACGATCCAGGCTTGATAACAAATTGTTCAAGAAATGAGCTAAATTCTTCCATGAAATAACTCATTGAACAGTTCGTGGAAGACGCCAAAACACAAACATCCCTTGTGAACATCTTCATTTACATTCCGATGGCTTCAAACGATTTATAGTTGGTAAAATTATCAGTGGCACAAACCTTCAATGATCGACTACACCAAATACCAACACCTCCACCTCTGCTTTCTCTTGGAGTGTGGTAGAAAGAATAGCCACTCGGAACAAGATCATCGATAGAAACTATATCAATATCAAAGTCTCCGTTATAACAAATATATCGAAATTCCTGTCAACAGTGTAATCTTTTAAGATAATGCGCTAGTTGCGAACGGAGCGACAAGTTAGGAGCCCAAAAGAACAGCTAGTAGTATCAGAACTCATCTAGCGTTGATCATAATCACTAGAATTACATTTAATAGAAATCAAGTCGGTGAAATTCGTAGTTCTTCTATATGCAAGAGAGCGCGAGTGTTTATCGAAGGATGTTCTTGAGCGGATAATACTTGTAATGTTCCTTGCTTCATGGATTTCCCTTGATTTCGAAAGCTTGCCGGCTTTTTCCACGATATCTGAAATGCTGAAGTTGATTTCATGCATTGATATTCAGATTAAAAGGGCACAGCTCGAGAAGGTCAGATCTTGTGTAAGCAAAGCGACCAGAAGAATTAGCTTGAATACCTTCGTACAAAATATTAGCCGGATTTCAACTAGGAAAGCCATAAAGAGCACCATAACCCGCATGTGCAAAGCTGAGACATGACAGGACCAGGACCAAACGTTAGAAC